GAGAGAGAGAGAGAGAGAGAGAGAGAGAGAGAGAGAGAGAGAGAGAGAGAGTTGTAGATAACTTTTCATGGGTAATCTTTCAGACATCAATTGCTTGTTCCATTCATTTTTGAATTGGGTAATGATATGTGAGCTTCCGCATGACGGTGATGGGACAAGGCGGCGACATGCTGGGAAAGATCATTGGGTTGTTCTTTGCCTGAAATCTTCATCTCAAATTGAACTATTATCACAGCGCAGGCCTAGAATTTTCATTAATTTCACTTGTTGATTCTAGTTTAGAATCTTTAATTTTGGCATTCTACTTCCTGCCTTTTCACTTGATTTTTCAATTTCATCCCTGATTTCAATTCTTCTGGTTCTTTCTTTCTTTCTTTGTCCTCAAATTATAGCCATCCTCTTATCCTGCTTTCGCATACTGACCTGGTTGGGCAAGACGCTCCATCACTTGTCGAAGTGTGTCGACGCACAAACAATAATGACATCGCACCCCCGCAGTGCCTGCAACTCCACTCGCATCTTGTCTATACATAAGCGCCTTCAGTTCCGTTCAGGTATTAAAGCGAGACGCACAGTCAGAGTGAGTCAGCGTTAATCTCACTCATTAGACATAATCAACACCTCACTTGCATGCACTTGTTAATGAAACAGCTGTTTCATTGTTGTTTTCTGAGAGGTGCAAGGTCCACTCCATCTGTGTAGTTAGCATGGAATGTGTACACACCTGTTCGCATTTCAGCACCCCTGCACCTTATTGTCTGTTCTCTTAATGATGCTCAGTCATACGCGTTTAGCAGTTCTGCAGGAGGGGAGGGAGGAGGGAAAGGGGAGGGAGAGGAGGGGAAAAATAAAGGAGGAAAGAGAAGGGAGGAAGAACCAGCACAGGGGAAAGTCGAACCTCATAGGGCCCTCAATATTCACCGGCAGAGCAGACTGCTTGAGAATGACACAAGACGCCAGTCAGTAGGGTTTGGGTGGCATGCCTGTGTGTGTGTTGACGAAAAAGTCAAAAAAACTACATACTCTCTCACTCTCTCATTCCGTCCACATACCATCACAGACCGTCCATGAAACAAAAAAAGTATAGGTGGGCAAAGTAATAGAAGATGCAAGGTTCCCCACGTTTGTGTGGTTCAGCGGGAAGTGCCCACACACCGGTCTGCCGCCAAAGCGGCACACTTGCACAGATTTTCTTTAGTTTTTTCAATCTGTAAGGAAACAAAGATAGAGGAAAGCCCCAATGCCACACACCTGTCTGCCACCGAACCCTGTAACTCCAGCGTACTCCACAGAATTGCAAACCAGACAGATCCAAACATTTGTGCATACTTGGATGGAGGACAAAAGGCAACATCCTCAAAGAATGAACACAAAGAATGCGTGCACCACAACACAAGACACTACCAACAAGAACGCACCGACCAAGACCCGCTTAGTCCCAGAAAACTCGGGAGCGCACTCTGAGTCGGCCCACAAAGCCACAAAAGAATTCCACAGAATCTCCATGCAACACCAGGTGCACAATGGGTTAAAACTTGAACTTAAAACACCATAGCAGCTCCACCATCTTCCATGTGCTCCAAAAGAGCAGCACGTGGGAGTGACACCCACAGCAGAGCCTCGTCGTGAAGATACCGTGGCCATAACTCCAAACAAACATTCCCGCCAAAAAAAGCTCATAGCCACCCACAGACATGCCTCCATAAAAAAGACGGCCATAGCCGCCATACTCTAAACGAAAGCAGGGCAAAGAATTGGGCCACATATGAATAAAAATATTAAAACACATCCAACGAATAATCCAATGTGTGTGCTTGTGTGTTGTGAACTGTCACCATAGCAACCCCTTTTACCTGCGTTACAAACCGGGCTGCCTGGGTCACCTTGGTTGCCTGGGCAGCCCGGGCCGGCAAGGGTCAAGGAAGGTCCCTGTAAAAAAAAAAA